TAGGGAAAATTTCACCTGCAAGTTGATGGGGCCCTTCGGCACCTCCACGCCAGGGCCAGGGTACGCAGAGCAGCGCCTCGCTCGCTGCCCTGTGAGCTGCAGGAAAGATCTGTCGCCTTTTCTCTGTTTCCTCCGGGTCTGTTTCAGGAGCTCTTGCCCTTTCCCGGGCATTCAGCACACTTCAACGCTCCTCTGCTCTAGTAGTTAAGATGCCTGCACTGTTCTTGGTTGTCTGAGTGGGTTTTTTTATGTGTGTGCTCTTGACTTTGGAAAAACAGTATAGCTCCCTCCACTTAATTTCACAGATCTGTAGCCCAAACTAAAACAAAGTTGTGTCTCATGCTGCAGCGATACCAAATCCTGCTTCAGTTACTCGAGGAAGGTAAGGTAGGGAGGGGAGAGCCAGCCCAAGGAGGAGTAAACTCTAAATTAAGCAGATCTAGGTTAATATATTCTGTCTTTCTGTTGATTCATTTTAAGAAGTGAATTTGCATGCTACTCTGTTGACTCACTTCTGTTTGTTCCTTCTAAGAGACTTGAAAAACAGATTACCATATTTTGGTTGTAGGTTTATCCTCTCTGCATTGTCGCCTACGTTGAGTTTTCAGCGCTAGGATCAGAGTCTGTCAGAGCCGAATGTGTGTGTTTGAGTTTTGTTTTGTTTTTCCCCTTGAGACTGTTGAGCTAAAAACGAGTATTGCGTAAAAGAGAGTTGTGTCATTTCTTTTTAATGTGAGCCCGAGAAGGGAGGAGAGCCCAGATTGTAGATGCACGTCCGTCACCACGGGCCGGGCATCGAACGGATCCATCGTTGCGGGGGGAAGACCCACAAGCAGCGTTTCACGGACGAGCCAACCATCCGACAGCGCTGCTCTGCGCTGGGATGGCCGGGGATGCGCGACCTGGTACTGCACTTGCGGTGCTCCCTCATGCTGGATTATAAAAAAAATGGCATTTGTTGCAGTGGTCCCAGCCAAGAAAAGTGTGCCGGGAAGGTTCTGGATGCTCTCTGCGGTTTGGCTGAAGGCGGCTGCTCGCTTCCAACTTGAAAAGATTGCCATGAAACTTGGAAGCGGCAGCGCTGCGCCGAGTGCTGTGTGGGAAGATGGCAGGTCTGGGAGACGAGAAGAGTTGTGAAATTTTCAGAGCTTTATTTTTTACTCTGCTATTCCCTGTGTACGTACATTAGAGAGAGCTTTTTAAAAATGTAGTCTTCCCTTTGAGAAGTACAACTGCGTAAACGGATGCATTGGCTTACCAATCTGGTGCTGGCGGGGTGCTGTCTTTCTGAAGCGATCCAGAAACGAGCGCTCAGAGCAGAGCGTTCATGTGTGCAAGAAATGATCAAAAATATTGAACCAAAATCATCAGCCTATAGCACCCTGCATGCCCAGTGTCTCCCAGCTACCTTAAAAAAAATAGCTTTGCATCAGGACCTTCCCAAATATTACCTAAAAGTTATTCCAAATGACAGCGCAGTATCCAACCAGGCCATCCCGGTATCCTGACAACAACCATCTGTTATCTGCTGACTATTAATCCCATCTTACAAACTGCCACCGCCGTTTTTTCCCTTTCATAGTCATAGTTTTAACTCTGCGTGCAGAGGCCTTGGTTAGTGATGCCAGGATTAGATTTGTCGGTGCCTCTATTAAAAGGTTTTACAACTTTATGGTTTTCATCCGCGTCTTGCCGGAGCCCGGCATCCAGGTCGCTCGGCACAGCTGCAGTTCTCTCCCCACCCTTCTTGAACATCTTTCAGATGGCTTCGTTTCGTTCCTTTCAGCTCCAATTAAAAAGGCTGAGTTTTTTTTTAACATGGGGTTTGATGCTGCTATTCAGTCTAAATGGCTGGAATTTTGATCAATTAAGGACGTGCTAGTAATTTATCTGGGGAAAGCTTTTCCTGCCTCCTCTAAACAAACTTAGAGATGCCCTCAACAGAGCAGCGCGCTTCTGTGCGCGCATAAACCCAGGAAACAGTCAGCGGCGCTCCAGGATGTGCTTAAAGTTCAGGTTTGAGCCCTCTGGGGAGCTGTGATCTATGAAGTGCCCCACGATCCCCCTCTCCTGCCCCAGCCACTTTTCCCTAAATGATGAAAATACTGCTAAAAAAGATGCAGCACAGGTGGCAAGGTGGGCTGGCTCACCCCAGGGAGCAGGGCGTTGGGCTGAGTTGGCATCAGTGGAGGAGCCGCTTCCCCGGTCGGAAACCTTCAAACTGGGCAGTCAGTGAGTCCTATGCCTTCTTCCCATCCCAAGACCCTCCTCCTCCTCCTCCTCTTCCTCGTGCCCTTTCCAGAGCTGAGGGGCGATGCTCGGGCTGCCCACAGGCACTGCAGCACGTGGCTTCCTCCTGAGCCGGCGTCCTGGGCGGCCATTTGGGAAGGGGCCTGCTCAGCGCAGGCGCGCGGAGGTCTCGCTCTCCGACCAGCGGGCGGCAGGGAGCCCGAAATTGTGCCCGCTGCAAGTCGCCCAGTGAGGGACGCTGATGCGCGGCTCCCCGTCCCTGCGGGCGGCTGCGGCAGGGTGCAATAAGCTCGGACAGGAGGAGACTGCGGCGATGGTGCGTTTACAGCATCTCCGTGGCCTGCCTGCCCTCGCCCCGCTCCCCACGTGCTGGCGCTGGAGCAGGACCAGCCTGCGCGGGGTCCGGAGCGTCTCAGCCGGCCTGCGCGGCTCCGGGGCCGCACGCCATTTGGGGAGGAGTTAAACAGAGAGCTCTGTAGCAACGTGAAAACAAACCTTGCTTTTTTTACACTGCTCCAGACGTAATCCTAGGAGAACAGGATGCTCTTCTGACTGGGGGAAGCTCCTATGAGTGTTTGTGCTGTTGGCATCCTTTTCCTTCCTCGTTTCGCTGCCGCAGTAATCTTCCAAGCAGCAGCTTCTTTTCTCTTTCCGTCCCCGTTTTCTCCTGAAAAAACAAGCGGATCCCTCTCATACCCTGGGGCGCTGAACAGATTTGTGTTGTGGAGTCGAGGGGGGTGGTTTTCCCCCCCC